CTGTGTTCATCCAGCTCTATACCTTGTTATATAAAGACAGGCAGCTTGCCAGGAATGATCAGTCAAGGGAGTGGACATTTTGCTCTGCAACACCATGCTACATCAATCTCCTACCTGCACCCTATGTGCCAGTCACACTTGCAGCAAAAACATTGTACGTGCTTTAAGCTAACGGCCAGGTTTCAACTTCTAAGGGGAGTAGTCTTCAGTCAATTCAAGCCTTCAGCCAAGGGCTCCAAAACACACTACATCAAGGGCAGGAGCGTGTGGAAAATCAAAGCTGATTAGGTTAACAGAGAGAGCACCCAAGAAGGGAATAAGGACTTATTCTTTCTCTCATTTTCACTACATCTTGGTGCAGTTTTGGGGCCCACAGCTGGTGGGGGAGGAAGTTTGCCCAGCAGTGGAGCCCATTGGTCTTGGAGTTTTGGTCGGGAGTACTCGAGCATGTTTGTGAATTGGGAATTCACCAAAGGTGTCAGTTTAAACCTGAGACTCACTCCTTAAGGAACAACCACTGCTTCCTTATATGGTGCTGAAATTAACAAGTGTGTAATGGAGATGGAAATGGCTGCCACCAAACCCACAGTGGGCAGGGTAAGTGTACCATTCTGCGAGAGAAAGATTTCAATTTCAAGTGACGTGAATCCCTTCAAAGGACAGCAACATCCCACCGACACCCATACAGCACAGGTAAAAGATATCTGCGCACAACAACAAGCAATGAATATCTTAGGCATTGACCTATTATATAGAATGCAAACTCTGGCCCCAAGCATTCATGACCACATCTTACAGCATCAGGAAGCAATAACCATATTGGCAGTGATGCACAAGGAATACTTTGTGTTCCAAACAGATTCATTCTGGATGCCAAAGTAGGAGCCACCAGTTCTCACTATACCTTGGACTACACACCTTGTGTAACACTGAGAATGGTCAAGCTTCACTCTTTAGTTGCAGCTATGATTTGAAGTGCCTGACAAAGCAGCAGCGTTCCGAAAGCAGGTGATTTCAAATCAACCTGTTGGACTATAACCTGGTGTCATGTGACCTCTGACTTAGTTGCAACTGGACAGACATTTCACAGCTCACACAGCTGATGATGAAAGGTAAACATATATTAACAAATGTGATAATGCATTCACAATGAAATCACTTCTGCCTTCTCAGAAGGACTTATTCTTTCTCTCCTTTTCACTACATCTTGGTGCAGTTTTGGGGCCCACAGCTGGTGGGGGAGGGAGTTTGCCCAACAGTGGAGCCCAGTGGTCTCGGAGTTTTGGTCGGGAGTACTCGAGCATGTTTGTGGATTGAAGGCCCAGACATTCCGAGTGTGTCCTTTCCAGAGGCACATTCACCCTCCTCAGCATGAACTCCCTCAGGGCTGAGGGAGACAGGTAGGGGGTAGGGGGAAGGCCCAGCCACCTTTGGAGTGCCCTAGGAGGAGAGTTTTGGCGTGGTTTCCTCTTCCGGCTGGGAGCCTACTGTCACCGCCCTGTCTTCTTGTTAAGGGCAGGGCACCTGGAGTGAGGTCAAGCTTCCACATCTCCATTTACCATTGATGGAAGATAGCTAGAGCAATGGACCTGTGTGTATAACCCCGTAGAGTCTGTGAATGTTGGGCCTGACTCTTCATGGCAGCCACTGACCTGCCCACAGAGGCGATCAAATGTAGCCTGGTGCGAGCAGCATTTCCGTAGTCTTGCAACCTTGACCCAGTGCCCCGACCAATCCTGCATGCTGCTCCTGTGTCTGCCAGTGCTGATGCCATAAAGTCCTCTCCTGCCTGGGGTATGAGCAGATGGTACAGTCCTCCAAGTGCCAGCGGCCTGGAGCGTTTCTCCCTCAACCAGTGGCGGAGACACAGCAGTGAGTTACCCAATAGCAAGTGATCCCAACTCTAACCTAGCTAATGTACCTGCTGAGGTGCCAGTATCTGGTTAGTTGTGGAGTGCAGGAAAGAGTCCTGTTGGTGCTTCCTCTGAGGTATCTGTGCTTTCTTCCTTAGAGATGGAGGAGGACGAAATGGCTTTTGGGCTCAGGTTCCTGGTCACAGAGTCAATCTTGTACCCCCAGGAACAAAAGAGAGACTGCACTGCCAATAAAGATCTCAATGTTCTCGCATCTTACCGATGCATTAATATCAGTGTTAATGGGAGAGCCACACAGCACTCGACAATGATTCTCATTTGGATGAAGGGACATGGAAGTTTAGGCATCTCCAGGGAAGCAGTCTTGGTCTTTGCTGGCCAGGACTACGATCCTCTCCTCATAAGGTGTGAGGAGTTGAACATCAGGTGCTCCATCACCCACCCTAGCCCTCTGTGTCCTAGTACTGGCCTCATTCTCTGGGAATCAGGCAAAGGGAGAGATTGAGGGCGGACACAGCTCTTAGTACTGGTGCAGGTTGGGCAAAGGTGGTGAGGTTTCTCAAGTGAGTGAGAAACCATGCAGCATTATGAGGGGTTGAACAAGGGAAGGAAGATATCACAGTGAGAGTGGTAGAGCATGAACCTCAGTGGGAGGTGGGAATGGTAGCAGAGATGGAGTGAGGGTGAGGTGGCAGGGAGAAGATGGTGGCACCTCTCTCACTGAGCAGACAAGGGCATTGATCTCCTTGTGGCTCTGCTGGACAGTTATCTGGATGGTTCAGACCAAACTGATTTTGGTGGCACCATCAGGCCAGGCTGGCAAGGTGTGGAGATGGGGCCTCTTCTACTGGTTGTTGGGGAAGGGGAAAACCCTCTCCTGCACCAACCCATCCAGCAGGACCTCCAGGTCCCTGTCCGTAAAACAGAGCACTGCTTCACCCTTGTCTGGGGCAGATAACAAGAACCTTGCAGGGCAGGTCTGGACTGAGAGCTTTTGACATGCTGCCATTGCCTTGTGACTTACTTGTATCAAACAGCCTGTTTCCACCGGTTTTAGGACCAATTAGCTCCATGGAATCCAATTTGCCCTCTTCAATGTACAGTTGAGGGCTTTCTTGTACTACTGCTAGAATTGGACTAGCAGCAGAGGAGCAAGAGGGATCTCTGTTATGTGAGATAAAAGCTGGTGATCTTCCAGCAGGACCCAGGGGTTGGAGGATCTTCTTACCTGGCCACTCTTTGGCCCTCAAAGAGGTCTTTATGGAGCTATGACCATGTGCAAAGCTTCCAATGGCTAACACTTGTCCCACTTCCTGCAGGGTTCCTTATCACCGTTTGCACTGCCACTTATCTGCCTGCACACTCATTCTCTAAGTGCAATTCCGGGAGTGGCCATCTCTCCCAGTGGTGCTGCTGAGGCAGCGAATCAACTTGACTGGGCCCCACAGCCCTTACAAGAGGTTAATTCCATGGCCATGCCAACAGCAGCTGATTAATTGACTCTGGTGGTTTCAGATCTCCCTCTGTCACCACCTCTGATAAACTCCAGCCTCTTAGACATCTATAGAATCCCTACAGTGTGGGAACAGGCCCTTCGGCCCAACAAGTCCACACCAACCCTCAGAGCATCCCACCCAGAACCATCCCCCTGTAACCCACCTAATCTGCCCATCCTGAACTCTATGGGCAATTTAACATGGCCAATCCACCTAACCTGCACAACTTTGGACTGTGGGAGGAAACCCACGCAGACACAGGGAGAATGTGCAAAATCCACACAGACAGCCACCCGAGGGTGGAATCAAACCCGGGTCCCTGGAGCTGTGGGCAGCAGTGCTAACCACTGAGCCACCATCCCACCCTTCTATTTGATTGAAATCAAAATTTTCCTAGGTCTCCCCAGTCCCATCTCCAATGCACACCTGTCAGTGTTGTTGTGTTGAAATTCTCACACCACTCACTGGCCACCAGTTTCCTGCATTGATGGAAGCTATGCAAGATGTATCAGGATTGCTACAGCTTAGTCCAGGCCACCGTGCCAGCACCAGTTCAATGACCAATTGCCTGTCCTTGCAATGACCTAATTCTGCAGACTCCAGCAGGTCAACACTCTGTAAAAACACCACAAGGCCTCACTATTTCAATCAATCCAATGACTGGCATTTATCGGAGATTAGGGAATGTGCCTGAAATTGCATTGTGCCCCCTGTGGGATGGCATACATGTAACAATATTTGCAAAAGATGCGAGGGTGAAGTGAGGGGAAATGTTTTGACTCAGTGGGTAGTCAGGCCTTGAAATGCACTGCCTGGAAATGTGGTGGAGGCAGATTTAATTAAGGCATTCAAGAAGGCATTGGATGGTTATTTGGTTGAAAATAATGTTCAAGAGTATGGGGAAGAATAAGAAGACTGGTATGAGGTAAAATGATGCTCATTTAATGAGTTTGTGCAGACACAATTGACCAAATGTCCTCCTTCTGTGCTGTAACACTATTGTGATCTCAGTTGGGGTTATACCAAGTTGGCCATCTAATCTCAGGCCCAATCAAGAAGGAAGTGATTCAGTTGAATCCTGTAGACCCT